TTCACCATGCCTAGCACTTGCCCTTTACTTTAACAGCTGTTTTCGGTTATCTGCCTTAAATGTCATGGAGGGGGAAGAAAGGAAACTGGGGCACTAAAAGGAATTGTTATAAGCCACTGGCCCACACACCTAGCGCACCCCTTTTCTGCCTAAGGTCAGCTGCATTCTTGGAAAGGAAACCAATGGGATTCTGTCTGGGCCAGGTGCAAGGTGCACAGGGGAGGGTCTCAGTCTTTGGAATCTCAACTCTCTGGTTTTCTCCCGGCTCAAGAACTATCAACTCTCTGTACTTCTAGAAATGGTCCTCTGACATGCCTTTTTTAAATATATTTTTCTTTCAATTCACAAACATTATCCAATCTTTTAAGAAAACTATTTAAGTTTTAGCTATCACTACATAGTATGGTCATGAATTCCTATACACTGGATGAAGAAGGATTTTATATTGACTATCCTAAAGTACCATCAAAATGGCTAAATCTGGGAGGTTAGTATCCTTTCATACTGCTTCGGCTGTGTTCCAGAGGATGACAGGAATACTGCATGCTCCCTATGATTAGCAACAGAAGTGCATCCAAGCTTCTCCACCCCTGCCACATGTGCTCCCCACCACCCAGGTGACAGCTGACGTAGTGGGCAGCAGGGATAAATGGGTGGAGCACACCAGGGTTCTGTGGCCACAGGGGGTCCAAGGGCAACATGTGACCCAGAGGTAGCCCACATGTGCCTCGGTAAGTATGTTTGGGTTTACAATTTTGGTATACAACATGGTCAAATCAGGAACAGTGTGGAAAAGAAGTATTACGAAGAGACAAATCAAAGTTAAGAGTGAATTCTAGAAGATATGAATCAATGCAGGTGACCATTTACCATACAGTAACTTGCCAAAGAATGCATATAATCATATGACAACCCAAGCTCTTATTAGCTCTTGCCAGTGATGAGAATTTTATGGCACCTCAACACCCAGTCTGAAATTTGTTGAAGCAGCAGAGCACCAGACGTTATAATACGTGCAACCAGGTTATAAAGTGGTTGCATACACCCTACAGTAAGTTACCACTTGCTAAATGGCCACCAGAATTTACCTTAAGTGTCTCTATTCTCCAGCTTTCCTCCAGACCTTCTGATAACATATCTGTACTCCAACTGCATACTCAATTTGATTTTTATATTGGCTATCTGTTAATGTCTGTGTACAGTCATCCCATCACTTGTCTGAAGGATGTTTTTGTGATGAACAGATTCTGGTGCCACGGAATTCCAGGAGTCATTCCCCCATTTCACTTCTGACCCCTAAGCCAAATTCTCCTACCCCATTTGATTCTGCTTTATTTCTTAATTTTGTGTTGCAGTCACCTTGAGTATCAGCCTGTCTTGCTTTGGTGTCTTATCAATTTCCTCATGGACACTTGCATAAAATGTTTGATGTCATTTTCTTCAGCAGCTGTTCTTGGAGCATAGACATGAATGATGGTTATGTTGACAGGCTTTCAAAGAATTCTGGTTGATTTAGCTGGATTTTGTTTTATTTTATTTATTTATTTATTAAAACATTTTTAGGCCGCCCCATTCGCCGAAGCCTCGGGGCGGCTGACAACACTAAGTTTATACCCCTACTACCTGTGCTAGACCCATTCAATTTCTTCTGAGTTTGTCATTTCTGAAGTAAAACACTTTGTAGGACTGAAAATTTCCCACTCCATTCTACTTTAGTTGACTCAAAACATTCTTCCTTTTGCCTTTGTGCATATCAGCCACTAAACTTCCTCTCAATTCTGATCTAGTTGTGTCATTAACAATATTGTTTGTCCTTTGCCATTCCCTAATAGTTGGCTGAATGCCTTCCAACTTGGGAGTATTATCTTCTGCAACTATCTCTTTTTCATTTTGAATTGTTTCACCAATTTACAGGGAGCAAAAAAAAAGAAAAACATAATTATTGGTGTCTATTACTGACCACCCAGTCAAAAAGGGGACAAGGATGCAACCTTCGAAAAGCCACTTGCCGGCATTTCCCAAAAGAATGATGTAGTCATCATGAGGGTCTTCAACTTCCCCGATATATGCTGGAAGACAAATTCTGCCAAACATGGCCCCTCCAAGAGATTCCTGACATGCATTGCTGATAACTTTCTCCAGCAGAAAATAGAGGAAGGCACGAGAGGATCAGCTATCCTCGATTTAATACTAACTAAAAGGGATGGCCTGGTGGACAAAATTACAAGCATGGGAACTTTTGGAGAAAGTAACCATGCAATACTTGAATTCTCAATTATGAAGGAGACAAAGGGTAACTGGAGCCAAACATGCATCTGGGACTTTGGAAAAGCCAACTTAACAAACTCAGAAAAATAATAAGTGAAGTGCCATGCAACACACCCTTAAAAAGGAGTCCAAGAGGGGTGGGAAATCTTGAAAAAGAAGATTCTCCAACCACAATGAACAATTCCATCAAGGAGAAAGTGTAGAAGACAGCAGAGGAAGCCCAAGTGGCTCTACAAAAAGTTAAGTGACAACCTGAAAGAAAAAGTAATGTGTACAGGAAGTGGAAGCAGGGCCAAGTCATGAAGGAAGAATATAAACAAATAGCAAGGAATTGCAGGAATAGCATCAGGGAGGCTAAAGCAGGAAATGAACTGAGAATAGCAAGGGATGCTAAGAGCAACAAGAAAGCCTTCTTCAGATACAGCCAGAACAGAATGCTGTGTTTTATTTTACATTTTGTATTGTTAAACCATCCCGAGACTTCAGTAAGGGATGGTCTAGAAAAGTTTTAAATAAATAAAATAAAGACATGAGAAAGAGAAGGGTGTCCAGCTATTTAAAGTGATAACAGACAACAAGGAAAAGGTAGAGGCACTCAATTCCTACTTCGCCTCAGTCTTCTCCCACAAGGAAATCTACAACAAAGAGGAAGTAGAAGCCGAAAGTGAGAGATGGCAGCCCAAGATTAAGAGACAAATGGTCAAGGAAGACCTAGATGGAATAAACATGTTCAAATCTCCAGGGCCTGTTTAGCTCCGTCCCAGGAACATAAAAGAGCTAGCAGAGGAATTCTTAGAACCACTGGTTATTATCTTCAATAAATCTTGGAAAACAGGAAAAGCGCCAGATGACTGGAGAAGGGCTAATGTTGTCCCCATCTTCAAAAAGGGGGAAAAAGATGAACCTGGGAACTACAGACCAGTTAGTCTGAAATCAATCCCTTGAAAAATTCTGGAGCAAATTATAAAAAAATTCATCTGCAAGCACCTTGAAGAACATGCATTGATTAATAAAAGTTAATATGGATTTATTGAAAATAAATCCTGTCAGACTAATTTAATCTCATTTTTTGACTGGGTAACCTCCAGAGGGACAGAGGAAACACTGTGGACATAATCTACCTAGACTTTAGCAAAACTTTCAACATAGTGCCACATGACATTCTGATAAACAAATTAGCAAAAACTGGAGTAGATGGAAAAACTATAACGTGGATCCAAAATTGGCTGCTAAATCAGCCGCAAAGAATGCTCATCAATGTCACCTTCTCAAATTGCATGGCAGTAACTAGTGGGGTGCCACAGGGTTCAGTCCTGGGTCCAGTGCTCTTGAACATCTTTATTAATGATTTGGATGAGGAATTACAAGGCAAAATAATTACATTTGCAGATGAAACAAAACTGGGTGGAATAGCAAACACCCTACGAGACAGAATGAAGATCCAGGGTGATCTTGATAAACTTGAACTGGGCTGAAAGCAACAGAATGAGATTCAATAAGGACAAGTGCCAAGTCCTCCACCTAGGAAAAAGAAACCAAATGCATTGATACAAGATGGGGAATACGTAGCTCAACAGAACTGAACAGAACTCTCAGAGTAATTGTGGACAATAGACTAAACATGAGCCAACAATGCAATGCAGCAGTCAAAAGGGCAAATGCTATTTTGGGATGCATTTACAGAAATATTACTTCCAAATCACAAGAAGTTGCAGTTCCTCTGTACTCCTCACTAGTTAGACCTCATCTGGAATACTGTGTCCAGTTCTGGGCACCAAGATTTAAGAAAGATGCAGGAAAATTAGAAAGGATCCAGAGGAGGGCAACAAAAGTGATACAGGGTTTGGAAATGCTGCCCTATGAGAAGAGATTGAGACTGGACATTTTCAGCCTTGAGAAGAGAAGACTGAGGGAGGACATGATATCTCCCTATAAGTACCTCAAAGGATGTCAAAAAGTGGAAGGTCAAGATCTCTTCCGAATGATACCAGAGTGTAAGACACGGAATAATCAATTCAAGTTGCGACAACCCAGATTCAGGCTGGACATCAGGAAAAGCTGCCTCACTGTCAGAGCCTTATGACAGTGGCACTGTCAGCTGCTTAGAGAGGTGGTGGGCTTTTCCACACTAAGGACTTTCAAAAAGAAACTGGACAGCCATCTGGGTGGGATGCTGTGACTTGGTGTCCTGCAACAGCAGGGGGTTGGACCTGAAGGCCTTCATGGCCCCTTCCAACTCTACTATTCTATGATTCTATGATCATAGGATGTAAAAGGTAAGAAAAATTCAGAAGTAGTTTACCATTTCTTTCTGTGTGCAGTACTAAGCAGGGTAAAGTTGCGCATCACTGTCACTGTCTGTGAAAGATTCTACACCAGTATCACCTTCAACTGCTACTGCTGCCCAGCAAGCTACCCTCTTTAGGAATTTCTCTAGCCCCATCACCATTAGAGACAGCCATTCTGTTCCCCATGATTTGCATGTTACTCCTGAAGACAGCAGATGTATCTTAGTCTGACTAAGACTAACACTTAGTCTGGTGTCTCAGCTTTGACCATTCCGCCTTGGGAGACCCTGCTAGGAGACCAGACTAGTATGAACAGTCTGGGCTCCTGGAGACATTGCTCTCACCTTCTCTGATATTCTCAAACTGCTCAAACATTAAGGTAAGCATTCAAGGGGATTGAGTGGTATAGAAAAGTAATATGACAAAATGGAATGAAACACTGACCAGTCTAGTTGCATCTACCTCTGCAGTTGGAGAGCTGGCCTGGCTAAGATGATTTTCCTCTTGGAAGTAATCCTGGTGAGCTCGTCGACCCATTTTTACTACCTATATGGAGGATAAAGAATCTAGTTATTCAAAAGCCATCTATCTACTGGGCACAACACAGCTACCAGTCTGGGGCATTACATACATGATAGCTCCTCATGTAATGTCATAGAGGTGAATTATTAATTAAACATGATGTAGAGGACCTTACCTTAATCCCTGAAATTATTCACATGAGAAGAAAGAAGTACTTGCATTTTTACACATTTGGTAGGGAGGGTGGGGAGAATTTGACAATAGATGATTTAGCAATGAAAGTTACCAGTAGCAGGGACTACAAAGGCCTAGGAGAATCAATGAGGTGTGATAGTTAAGACTGCTGAACTAAAGACCTGGAAGATCTATGTTCTAGTACCCATTCAGCTATGAAACTCTCTTGCTGACTTTGGTCCAGTCACAAACTCTTAGCCTAGCCTGCCTCAGTGGATACGGAAGGGCTGACATCTGAGTAAACACACAAATACTTTTTTTCTTGCCTCCCTTATGTATTGTGAACATGTGTGAGGGAGGCTGGCATAAATTATAGGAATCGCTGGTGTTCAGTTAACAGTTTTCTCAATTGAAATTCCCAGTACATGGATGCCAATAGCTTCTGAACTAAAAGTACAGGATGTCCACCCTATCCTCTACCTGCAACATCTTTGTCCCACTGAGGTATTTTCTGCCTGGGCTGTTTTTATAGCAAGAGTAATTTGCCACTGCAAATTCATCATGCTTGGACATTTCAACCTTTTCTTGCACAATCTTATACAGGTTTGGACAAGAAAAAACACTTCTTCAACTCCCAGCATCCCCAGTCAGCCATGGAAGCTGGCCAGCTGGCTGGGGAACGCTGGGAGTCATGGGGCTTTTTTCTGTCTAAGCCAACGCGCGACGGAGCCTCAGCTGAACTACTGCGGCTTTAACAAAGGAGCACATGAGCTCTGCTACCCGCTCGCCTCCGCGGAGATCTGCCCCTGCCTGGGGACGGACAGCGCGGGCCATGTCCCGTCGGGTCAAGTCAAGTGCCCGGAACTGAAGGAAATCTTGCGACCAAGGGCGGGAGAAGGGGCCGGGGAGGGAAAGCCGGCCGGGCAGCGAGGGCGCCTCCGTCGCCATGGCAACCCGCAGCGCGTCCTTCGACTCGTCTTACCCCCTTGCAGACCACCTCATCCAACTCCAGCTCGTCGTCCATCCTTCGGGCCCGATGCGCGCGCGCGCGCGCGCGAGGGGATGGAGGCGGTGCCGCCGAGCACTTCCGGGAGAAAAGCCACCCCCTCAAGCGTCCTTAGCAACCGCGGCATTCCTTTAAAGAGACGCGGTGCGCTTTCACGGTGGGGGACCTTTCCTGGTGGGGCGTGGGAAAAACAGAAATGGTGGTAGCATGGGGGCACCTCCCTATTCATTCCCTTAACCTGTTGACCGGCTCCGATGGTCCTCTAACGTGGCATCACTACTCTTTTTTAATATTATCGTTATGGATGATTAATGATTAATATTAAGTAAGAATAATCTGGGTACTGCAAAGATCCGGTGCTCAAGCCCACGGACCAAAAAGAGCACCTTTGCATTTGCTAATTTGCATTTGCTAATTTTTATATAAACTCTAGAGGCTCTGTGCGTGTGCACGCACGTGTGTGTCTTTAAAGGAGCCTGTCTCCTAAGCACAAGCCTATTTGTAAAAGGGATCTATGGAGAGGGGAGAGGAGGGCATCGGAAAAAACTGAAGCAGAAAGATTCGAGAGTGGGACAGTAGGAGATGAAGCACAGGCAGGAAAGGCTGGTGACTCCTGTGTCCGCAGAGCTCCTTATCCGTGGAAGCTTTTATTCTGAGCTTTATAGGAGCTATCCATAGTGCTGCATGGTGAGGAACCTATTTTGGAGTGGAGCTCAGCACAATGAATCCAAACTATGAAATACAACGTGATGCAAAATAACAGACAGTATAGGAGTTGATAAAACTACCATAAAACATAGAACTGGCTCTCCAAAATGCCTGGAAGAAAGGAAAGGTTGAAAAGGTAACAATGTTGGTGCCAGGTAAACCTCTTTGTGGAGGCTATTCCATAGGTGAGGTGCCATAGATGAGTAGGCTCTCTTTCTTGCAGCCATCTATGCAGCTTGCTTTGGCAGAAGCACCCAGAAGAGGACCTGAAAATTGCCTATGAAAATTAACTGGTAGCCATTACTATATTTTGTGGTGCTGAATTCCATAATTCAGCTGTGCACTGTGTGGAAGCATACTTCCTTTTATCTGTCCTGAATGTCCTACCTATTTGCATTATGGAATGACCTCACATCATGACGCTAAGCTCTTCCTCTTGTTGTCACCTAATCTAAGTGAGGGGGTGACAGTTCTGAACCAGTTCCTAAGTGGGGACTGGATGAGGGTGAATTAATTTAAATTTAATCCAGATAAGATTGAGGTTCTACTGGTAGGTGGGTCCTATCAGTAGCACTTAACAGGGTAGCACTCTCCCTAAAGGACACGGTCCAGAATTTGGGGGTGCTTCTGGACCCAGAGCTGTCCCTGGAATACCAGGTGGGATCCATGGCCAGGAGTGCTTTCCATCAACTCCATTTAATCCATCAAATGTACTTCTATCTGGACAGACAAGATCTAGTGACAGTAGTCCATGCACTGCTAACTTCCCATTTTGACTACTGTAATACATTGTACATGGCACTGTCTTTGAAAATGCTCCAGAAGCTTCAGCTGGTGCAAAATGGGGCTGCCTGCCTCTCAACATGTACTTCAAGGCAGGTTCATATAACACCTATACATTATCAGCTGCACTGGCTTCCAGTTGAGTTCCAGGCCCACTTTAATGTGCTTATGATGGTATACAAAGTCCTAAATGACTTAGGACCTGCTTTTCTGATAGAATGCCTTCTCCTATATATAACTCCCCCATCACTAAGGTCAGTGACAGAATTCCTACTTCAGGAGCCACATCTCTGGGAAGTAAGGAGGGCTGCTATCAGGGGGAGGGCCTTCTCTGCTGTGGTGCCACAATTATGGAAACAGTTCCTCAGGTGCACCTGGCACCGACACTGTACACTTCTCAGTGCCAGGCCAAGACCCTTTTATTTTGTCAATGTTTTTATTGTTAGAATGTTTTTACTTCTGTATTTTTCTGGTATTGTGACTGCTGTGGAATAATTACTTTTATGATTTTGGTATTTTATTATTTTTATTTATTTATTTCTGATTATTTATTCAACTTTGCTCCCTTAGTATTTAATGATTCAAACCATTTAACTATTTATCTTTAATTTTATTGTTGTGTCAAGCAGAGTTATGAACATATGGTCACCTTTAATATGCTGGTGGAGTAAGGATAAGAGGTAAGTAGGTTGGCAACCAGTAGATTTATAGATTTATTTAAATAGCCCTTTGTAATTATGTTTATTTTATTGTTTTTAATGATATAATTATGTAGAATGTTGCATATTGTAATTTTGATCATCTATATTTTTAGTACTGCTTTTTTATAAACTGTTCTGGGAACCATGTATTGCTATTAAGCAGCATAGAAAAGCAGTGTTCCAGTATTATGAAAGAGGGAGAAAAAAAGTCTTGATCACTTGCTGCAGCCCCTTAATAATTTTTCTGCACCTTTCCCAACTTTGCAGTATTCATTTTTAGGTACAGTGAGCAGAACTGTACACACTGTTCCAAGTGAGGTCATACAATAGATTGATATAGCAGCACTATTATATTCCCTCGCTGCCCCCATGTCCAGCTGAGATACACACACTAACACAATGAGATGTCAGACAAGCTGAAAACAATGCCAACAGGAGGTCAGACTCTCGCTAATCTGGTTTCCTAGCAGGGCCACTCAAGACAGAATGGTCAAAGTAGAGACACCAGACTTAAGAAGCATCCCCCTTCTTCAGGAGTAACAGTCAAATCATGAGGAACAGAAAGGATATCTCTAATGGTGATGGCGGCAGAGAGACTCCTTAAAGGTAGCTACGCGCAGCAGTGGTAGTTGAAGGCAACACTGGTGCAAGATTTTTCACAGAGAGTGGGAGTGATGCTCAAGATAACTCTGGTTAGTACTGCACACAAGAAGACAATGGCAAACTATTTCAGAACTTTCTTACCTTGAAAACCCAATGATAAAATAATTAAAAATGAAGCAAGAGAAAGTGCCAGAAGAATCTTTTGTAAATTGAGCAGAGCCTTTGGGAATGGGGCGGTATATAACAATCTAAATAAATAAAAGATGAGATTCCCAGATTAGAAGGCACTCAACTAGCTCCTGGAGAAAAGCAAAGGACAAGTATTAATAGCACTGTCACTAATGATGCAACTAAATCAAAGCTGAGAGGAAGTCTAGTGGCTGACATGCACATAGGTGAAAGGAAAGTCCATTGCTGCACAAATGGAACATGGAGCATGACAAGTACGAATCAATGTAACCTGGAAACCATAAAGCAAGAAATTGAATGGTTAAACACCACAGTACTTTGTATGAGTAAACTAAATTGGACTGGAATGGAAAATTTTGAGGCAAACAAACAGAAGAAAGAAACACAGGCAAAAGGAGGACTGCAGCTGAATAGTTAAAAAAACAAAACAAAACAAAACTCATGGTTACAGAAGAGTTACAGAACTTTACTATGAACAGTGAAGAAATGGCATAACTTGGCTCAGTCATTAATTTGAATAAAGCTTGCGACCAAGACACCTGAAGAAGGCTGAGATCTGGAAAGGCAGCAATGAAGAAACTAGCAAGGATCATCAGGTGGAGATGTCTGCAAATACTCTGGCCTATCAGAAAGACAAACAAATAGATCTGAGAACAAATGAAGCCAGAACTTTCCCTAGAAGCAAAAATAAAACCAAAGCTGTATTACTTTGGGCATATCATGAGAAGGCAAGACTCACTGGAGAAGGGAATCATGCAGAAAGCTGGAGGAGGAGGAGATGGATGAACTCCATAAAGCAAGCCACTGCCATGACTTTACAAGAACTTAGCAGGGCTGTGAAGGACAGGACATTCTGGAGGGCTTTCATCCATAGGGTCGCCATTAGTTGGAGGTGACTTGATGTCACATAACAGCAAATATTGTATTGCCAGTTCATTTAAAATTATTTTGTTCATTATAACAAGCATGGAATTTGCCTTTTTTCACAGCAACTGCAAACCGGGTTGACAATATGGGGTCTGCACAACCCCAAGGTCTCTTTCTTGGTAGTTCAGTCTCATCAGCTTATGTCTAAAGCTGGGATTTTTTTTGCCCTAATGAGCATTATTTTATATTTGTTTAAAGTATTATTACTATTACTATTGCATCACATTTATTTCCCATCTTTTCCCTCTTATGAAGAACCCAAGATGGTTCTTCCACTCCATTTTTATCCACACAAAAGCAACCCTGTGAGGGATGAACTGCATTTGTCACTTTGATGCCCATTCTTACCATTTGGAGCTCCTCACAATCCCTTTTTGCTTTAAGCACCCTAAATGATTTAGTGTCATCAGTGATCTTGGCCGTCTCAACATTCATTCTTATTCCAGATCATTTATGAAGAAGCTGAAAAACCTTGGTCTCAATGCAAATTACCATGAGATCCCACTGTTTACACCCACCATTTATTCCTATTCTCTGCTTTAAGCCTCCTTCATGGATCACTGCCTTGTCGTGGTGAAGGGGCTTGCGTAGCTCAATGAAGCTATGA